TGAAAGAAATTACTTTCAAAAAAAAAAAAAAAAAAATGAATTATATTTTCACATGTGTTCTCCATTTGCTTTTTTGTATTTTGTAAATCACAACAGAAAAGAAAAAACACTCCAATTACTCTTTTTTTTAAACCCATAAAACTTATGGTTGGGAATTCGGAAATTCTCACTACATAAATTCAGTTTTCCCATATTTTCTCTGAGCAACCAGAATTCACCGTAAATGAATTTCAGGTCAGTCAACAAATATTTCCTGAAATATGTAGGTAAAAAGAATCAGTAATATCCAATTAATCCAAAGCAAGCTATTATCTTTTGACTATTATGCAAAAAAGAATCGAACTTTGCTTATAAAATATTCAATTCTTTCATTGAAATCATACAAAAACCTTTTTCTTTTAATTCTGCTAAAACTTCAGAAAGCCATTTCAAACAGTAAAATTAATAATTGCATGCAGCACACATGCAAGCATATCTGGATGGATTGATGTAAAATGACCGAATTAAGAATGAAAGGATAGATAGAATCGTTTTGGTTGATAAACAAATGCGCCCGTCGAAATGTGAGCAGCAACTTTTGTCACTAATTGGTGATTTAAATGGAATAATCCTTTTAAAGAAAACTAAAAATTCATTCGACGATTCTTCTAATTTTGTAGGAATAATTGATTTGATTCCTGGATTTGATTTCTAAGACAAATTTGGAACTTTTTCTCAGCAAAATTTTTTGCGCCCATCTTTGAGGTCAATGAACTTCAATTCGTTTCAGTCGTAGTTTGAGCAACGGAAATGAATAAAGCGGTTGAAATTAGGGAAAGAAAAGAAAGTTGACATGACGGAATAGATAAGAAGACGTAATGTATGTGGCAATTAAATGATAATCATTAACCAATGAATTGAATTAATTCATCTAATGGATCGATCGATCGGTCAATCGATAGATTAGCACAAAATCTGTTCCTTTCATGAAAATCTTTCTCGATGATTTATTATTGGCATCTGAATAACAAATTAAATTATCATTATAAATATTGATTTGAAGGAGTTAAAGTTGTGTTCAAATGATCAAAGAAGCATATGCTGTTTTATAGATTTGTCGAGAGTTTAATATTTAAAACGATCTTCTCACTCATACACATTTCTAATGATTGATCCATCTGTGTTGCTTCAAATCCATGAGATGAAACTAACATGAATAGTTTTATGAGAAGTGAGAAGATCAAGGATGAGTATGATAATGATAAGAGCATAAAAGATAACATTTTGAAGTTCAGAAATGGAACTAAACAAAAGATCATAAGGTGTAGAGATAAATTTGATAGAATTACGGAAAAATTTACTGTTTAAAATTAGCAATTGAAGAAGATTTTATGTTGTTTACATAGGTATATCTTTTCAGTTCCATCGATTAGTGACAAAGAGTAAACGACATTTGAATTATTGATTAACAAATATTGAAATTCTTTCAGTCATTTAATTTTCTCAAATTTATAAACAAAATTCTCCAATTTCTACTCTAAATGATTCCTTCTCATATCATTTCTCTCACTTCTAAGACAATTCAAATCATTGCTCACTTAATAGCAGAGAACAGTTTTGAGGAAAAATTGACAGATTGTTGAAACAGTTGTTCATTTTGCTCTCAGCACAATGCTACGACGTTACCGCCAAAACAGCAAATTGTAATGTAGATAGAAAGTTTTAAATTTGAAAGAACAATAGGCAGAAATGTTGAGACAATTACAAAATTACACGAAAAAAGTACTTTCATGGCACTCATTTCCTAACTTCTTGGGATTGCTTGCATTACTGCTTGATTCAATTTAACTTAACATTTCAATCAAGGAAGAGAAGAACAAGTCGACTCTTGACCTCTGACCATGTCGTCTGAATGCTTGTTGTTTTCATTGGTTCCTTATTTGACAAAAGGAATTATGGGAAGAGTTAAGGAAGAATTTCAGGTTCCCCGAAAATGTTTTCAATATTTAGAGGAAGAAAAAGTAAACTTGCCAGCATTGATAATTTGTCGCGGCCTCAAATTGAAGTAATCATTAGCAAAAAGCAAAATAGGTAGCATCAACAGATCAATAATAACCACTTCTTGGCGCATTTTTCAATTTTTTTTTTATTAATTCACCTTGCATTGATATCAATTAAAATTCAACAATGAGTGCCATTTTTGTGTGTGACAGCAATAATTCTCAGCGTGTCACAGCACCTGAATTAGTAGACAGCAAATCTGAAATAAGAATACATTGTGTGTCATTGAGAATGTCGTGTTTCACGTAAGCATCACGTATAATACACTATTGGCTACTACTATCTGATGATCACTACTTAATTGTCACATGAAAAGTTAATGACGTGGTCAACACACTACAGTCTAAGGCTCTTACTTCATTCATTTTAGCTCTGCAATAAAAATGCAAAAAAAATGATAATTACTGCTCCGTGAACAAAGTTAACTTAGTTAATCTAAAAATAAAAGTTAAGTTAGTAGAAGAATTCGACCATTATTTTTTTCATTGATTTTTTTTTTTTTTTTTTAATATACTAGAATCTGATGTGCAAGAAAAAATACTGTAGTAGATTAAATGAGAGACATTTGATCAATAGAATTTCAGGAAATAAATAAATCTCATCAATCTTAGAGAAAAGCTTATGCTCAATTCAAGTGGTTCAGCTTGTGAATTTCGTGGATTAAAGAATGAAATCGAAATTTTACCATGAAAAAAGATCAAAATATAATAAGAAATGTTTTTAGGTTTGCGTTATTCTCGTCTTTCCTTTCTTTATGAAACTAATCGATCGATCAATAATAATATGAGATTTCATGAAGAAATATATTTCCGATAAAGCAAAGATAAAAGTTTCAAGCATGAAATGAGTGAAATCCGTTAGTTCCGCAGAAATTTCCCCCAGAGAATGATGTTTTAGCATGAGTCATCGGTCGTTAAGTGAGAGTCATTGAGGTAACTCACTAATTGGACAATTGCGCTGGTTTTTAATTCCTAAAATATCTCATCATCCACTTAGAGATGAAATGGACAAGAAATGTAATTCCTGCTTTGTCTACCGGAAAGAAGCAATACGGGAAATTTCTCAGTGTTGTTTGATTTAATACACGACAGTTATTCGCCCCACTAAACGTCCATCCGGAAATACTGCTCAGCGCTATGAAATGCGCACAAGAATAGCTTCTGGATCCTGTTTTTCCCAAGTGTTACTGAAGTTGCATGTCACCGTGCAACTCCGCGGGAAATTGTTTAATGTGATAATCCGACGAGTAGTAATTCCGAATGAACTGAATATCACTGAGCGAACTTTGGACCAGCATGAAAAGAATTCAATTGAACGACACTTACTAAACGGATTGTAATTTTGGACAATCAAATGACACATTACCGGAAAAGACCAATAGCGCCAGATAATCTTATCATTCCGCAAATCTCTAAATGACATCCATTCATTATAGATTGGATGTAACATAGCAAATAGACAACTGAGTAATGCTTCCAATGCATTATAAATTATCACTAATGCTTTCACACTCCTATCACTAGCACTATCGTCGAGGTTATCACTCCCTTATCACTGTAATTGCTATCAGCAAGCACATCTTGTCTAGCTTAGATTTGATGCTTCAGTAGACTGTACATTTGTCAGCCAAATTTGAAATGAATATGAATTGGGAAGAAGAAAGAGGGACACGTGACTAAGTGACCAAAGACTTCAGAGAAACATCGCAGCTATCGTAAATGATGGGAGGGAGTGCACTGGTCATCCTCCGTTCATAGGTCAGAACTGACCATCGGCCATTCTCCCTCCCTTCTAATGAGTAGCACATTCTTCTAATGAGTTGTTTTTTACACAGAGAGGAGGGGATGGCTAAAGGCAGTTATGGGAAGAGATAGTAGAGAGTTGGGATCACTGATAAGCTATGATATGATATGATAACAAGAAAAGATGATAGGTAGGTATTCTCGTTCCCTTCACTCTCTTACTGTTCTTTAACGTCTTCTTATCATCGAAGTAAGCTTCACTGACCGCTTCACCCTCTGAACAGTTTTATCGATTTATTTCAATGTTTCTAAGTGTCACTGTTTCCTACGAAATTAGCCTACCCGAACCTGACAGATACCCAAAGACTAAAAACAGATGGACAGGACTGCTCTTAGTCTAACTTTCAGGTTGCAGGTCTAGTCGATATGTGACAACTGCACCATTTAGAAGATCCCACCAACTCTAAAAATGCTAAATTGGTGTGTCATTTGGCAGATTAGACTGATTTAAGGTTGAGAGTTATCACTGATTGTTATGTGGGGGAGTGATAGGACTCTCCTCGTTGTCATAGGCTTGTGTCTCATGAGGAGAGGACACTACCTGACAGTACTATTTGTGGAGGACATTCTGGAGGCGAGAATACTTTGTCAATGAAATTTTTTTCGGGAATTAAAAATTATCCAAAATTTATGGCGAACAGATTTAAGTGTGCACAAAGAACGAAAAGCTGAATTACTGTGTTTAGTGATGCATACCCCTCCAACTTATCAGTGACAGCGGTGACACTGAATACAATCGTTCGTTAAGCAAAATGTAGTGGTTGAATTGAAACGATTGAATGAAGCAAAACATCTGAATACTGTCACCAATGTGACATGCTGCGACCTACTCTTCACGCCAGCAAATGTCACTTCGTACATCGGTGCAGCTAGCTGAGCTAAAGCATGTCACCAAAAAAGCTTTCAAGCATTGACTGGACAGTCATTCATTGCTTGCAGATCTGGCAAATCCGGAAATATGGCAATCACTGGTGTACTATGGTCCGGGAAACCATCCATAGTTAAAAGATCGCAGGAGCAACATTTTCAGCCAACAGTTACGACTCAGTAACAGCAACCGGAAAATTGCATAATTCATGAAGGAAAGGAATGGTTATTCTCCGGTTGATTATTCTATTCCTTCATTTCTCTTTTTTCATCTTGTTTTGCTGCCGAAACATGACAGGTATAGAAGGGAAGGAGGAAGAGAAGAGGAAAAAAGAAGCAAAAAAGGGACAAACAGATAGGATGGATGATGGTAGCTCGGCGCAAATTGACATTTTGAAGATGAAATGTGCGAGATGGAACAAACAACAAGATTCGAAAACGATCATGCATTATGATAAGCGAACAGCACCACCACCAGCGCACCGCACCGACACCGCCACCACACCATTTCACCGTCATCACCGTCGTCCTCAACGCTGTCATCCCATTACCAGCAATAGTAGCAGCAGGAGCACGCATCACATTGTCATTATCGTTTGAGAGGAAGCTGTCTTGCAAAGTAGATCCTTGTGGATGGTTTTGTCACCATGCAATGATAACAGTTTTACTTGTAAAGTTGATGATGAGTGCTTGCTCGTGAATTAAATGATAAGTTTGTTGATGAGTGAAGAGATGAAATAGAGAAAGAAAGGTGAGATGTTGGCTAAAAGATGTCATCTGAGAGGACAGGTGTGATTAGTGCTAGGACTAAGTCTGCAGCATTGAGGTGGGGAAAACGAGGAGACTGAGGTAAGGTATCTCGATGAATCTGATATGACTTACAAGACAGCAAACTGAAGTGATAAATGATAAGGAGATGATCGAATGATAGAACGATGCCTATTTTGCATACAACCAATAATTGCTATGTTAATTGCATGAAAAATTATTATTATCAGTTGCAGGGAGAATGGAATGTTTAGTTTGACAGTAATTAATTAAATTTTTGAAAATTATTAGTTTACTTTCTAACCTTCTATCAAATTAGAAAATGTGACGCATCTCTGTCTTTGCTAGGCTGTTTGGACTCATCGAATTAGAACTGATCTACTCTTCCATTCATGAATTTGACCTGACCGATCATTCTGGTCGTTATCCCAAAATGTGGCATAGGTATAGGTGTTCTACATCATTCACTTGATATTAGCCAGCTCAGTGTTTCAGTTCATAAAAGGAAACTGAATACTAAATCTACCTGTTCGTATTTCACAAAGGATTGTCCTAAGGTACCACAGGTAAGCATCTCATACCTTACCTGTGGTACCTTAAGCCTTTCTGTTATGCTAAGAAGAAAAGAAGACGATAACATTCGAGTGCAATGTTCAACAGTGACGAAATGGAATTGAAATTTCTAAAGCGTCGTCCTTCCGCAATTCTGTGACAAAAGCGCGCTGCATGCAACATGCGCAGCACAGATTTTGCAAGATATATTTCAAAGTTGATAGTATTTGACAAACTAAATTTGTGATTTTTCTCAGAATTTATTCGTAAAAATAAGATGAGGGATTGTTCTAAGCTAATTATTTCAGACTTTTATCTTTGAAAAAGATAAAAGTCTGAACTTTTTCAAAGTTATCAGTTTGAATCCATCACTCCTTCCTAATTCCCAACTTAAACTTAAGCTTTAAACTTTCCTTCAACAAAATTTTTTTAAGTTTCTTTTCATATGTTTGTTATCTTTTAAGTGAGAACCTTGGAGAACAGTCTTCGAGAAAGACTTGACAACACTCTTCCGAGTGTTGACTCTTCCTGTCCGGCGTAAATGTCAGGAATGTCCAAAATTTCAGATACCTGTAAATTTCTTCGACAGAACATCTAGTGAAAGAGTCATGATGGATGTATTAAAAAGAAGCATGCAGTGACAGTGACAGTGACATCGCCAAGTCATTAAAATGTTTGTGGGAAATGATTTGAAGAAGTCGAAGAGTAGGAATGGAGACAGTACTCTAATAATGTTAAGTAATATTAATGATAAACAAATACGACAAATGATAAATGGGAGTGGAAGGTGCTGGGAACTAGTTTTGGCGGAAGATTATTATCATTTGTTTGCTTGCTCTCTTTTCAAAGATCACACCTTTCCTTCGCTTCAATTCATCTTCACCTTAGGCTTTTTGTTTAGCTAAAGTTTAGATCAGAACAATTAATCAACATTTCCTATCTTAGATATTCAATCATATTAGCTGTTCAAATGAATTATTTACCGTTTATGTGAAATATTTTTCGAAATTTTTTCTTCATCTCATTTGTTGTACTTTATAAAATGTAAAATTTCAATCGTAAATTTCAACAGTTCTTTTATAATTTCTTCAAGTTTTGATAAGAAAGGCAACAATTTTCTAAATTTATCTTTTGAAACAAACTTAAAAAAAAACTTCAATATTAGAAAAATATTAGAAAGTTGGGCAACGTCTTTACAAAATAAATAGAAATGATTGCAAAATAAATCTAAAAGCATTGTCAAACGAATGATTCAATGTGACGAGTGATTCACTGCCCTGAAAAGTGGGAAGGAAATGACGGGTAGCTGAGAAGCGACCAATTCAAGTAATAATACTAGCACATAACTGATTACACTAATCATTTCAAGCCATCAATTAATTTAACTAACTTAATTAACTAATTAATTAATGTGAATACGAATTAATTAATATGAACTCTGACCATGTCTTTACCAAATAAGTTTCACTGAAATAAATTTGGCAAGGAAAGAATAAAGTATTGTGAGATATGAGAGAGTAGAAACTGAGATTTGAACTGATTGAGAACATTTGATAACTTTCACTATCACATCACAAGTTAAATTAACCAAATTGAGCTGGATTTGTCGGAAGAATTATGCTTTAAGTTTACATGTGTTAATGATGTCGCCCGTGTCACCGATCTGTTGACAATCCAGAGACTCGTTCAAGGTTGACAGATCAAATCCAATCCATCTTGTTGTTTGAGTTGGTCGAATAGAATTCGTCTTCACAACTCTGACACCTTTTTAAATAAAATAAATCTTCCAAAACCACTTTTTTCCGTTAGCAAAACGCGGTCATCGAGAGTCGTCCATATTTGTGATGACATTCCAATAATGTCATTAAAAATTTTTGAACCATAAATGTATTCATGCATACTACATTTACAACTTCCATTTTATTATAAAATTAGTAACACTTCACTGATTATATTGCCTGGAGAACAGAGAACAGTGACATTTTAGGTGACATTTCACAGTTTTTTTTTTCGTTCGGAAACTTTGGAGTATTCGTTTCATGAACTGCAATTTAAGGAACACATTTTCAAAATAGCTTGAAGCAATGTGGAAATGACAAAGATAGTTTAAACTTGTCAGAGACAGAAATGACTGCTATTCACAACAGGTAAATTCTTCAGTTTAATTTGAGTGGAGTAAAGAGGATTTGAAGAGGATCAATAAGTATAAGGAGTGATCGAGAAAATGAGTGATAATGAACAGTCGAGTTCTAATGGAAACTCATCTGTCTCTAACAAATTTCCCGCTTTTCGGCCCTTTCCGGGAAAATGGAACTGATCAATTTGTTTCTGATGACACTTTACAGAGTGACGTGACATCGACCTGTATTACATAACTCATTGATTCCAGTACACCAGCAGTATCTTCTTTTTCTCTTCTATCTAATAAAGGAGGAAAAGGAGAGAAAGTTCAAAAGTTACTGGAAATGAAAAGCATTTGTCAGTTATGGTTAGCACCGGAAAGGAAAGAAAGAGAACCGGAAAAGATTGTCGGAAAATACATGAAGGAGATGAGATAAGAAGAGAGGTTGATAAAGTCAGGTAAATAGAAGAGAAAGAGGAAGATAAAATGAAATATATCAAAGAGAGAAAAGGAAATGGTAGTAAAATAAGCGATAATAAAATTTTCTCACATTTTTATTTTATAGGCGCTGAAAATGATGAAGTGCCGAGGACAGCACGAAATACTTCATCAAATGGGCACAGTTTTATTCTGGGTACACGTATATATTTAAGAAAGAGTAGGTCCGTCATTTCACGTGACCTACTATGATCACGGGTGTACGTGATACGTCAGACTTCGTAGAAAAAGGAAAAGATATATGTGTGACCTAGTGAAATAAATGTAGAAATTTAAAGAAGTACTAGACAAATCTATGCGAACAGGCTAACATCGCTTGAATGGTTTGTTGACTTGAGGTGTTCGTTCTTAGAAACATCTGCTAAATATTTCATATTAATTATCATTTCGTAGACAGAGGAATCATCGATCAGTTGAAGGGATCATTTGTCGAAGAAGTAAACGATCAAAATTAATGAATAACAGCTGAAAGCAATGAGAGTTGACTGATCACACAAATTTAGGGGAGAATTGTTAGATGAAATGGTGTTTAATATATCATAATGCAACAACTGTTCGATTCAAATGCACAAAGCCATGAGATGAAGCAAAGTGAAATGAGAAGAAAATACTTTCAAATGTTTTCAAATCAAAAATTTAAGTTCCTAAATTGCTCATATTTTACGATACGTCAATCGCACTTATCTGACTGTCTACAACTGAGTCCCGCAGAATAGGATCAAATCAATGATTAGTGATTGGTGGATCAATGATTAGTGATTGGTGGATCAGTCAGTTAGTCAGTCAGTCATCGATCGTTTACTTAGTCAGTCTTTTTGCCGCCAACTACTTTTGCTTACACAATGGATGACAATATTTCTATATTTCCATCTGTCCCCATCCACTCGACTCCACCCAACCACCCACCCATCCACTATCCATCTATCCGATACGTACATAATTTGGTTATGTCAACATTGCTATCTATTCATGTCTTTTCGAGCAGTAGATGACAAGCAAATTTGCAATTTGGACTGGGAAAAAGAAGGAAATTTTTGTCATCTTAGAATGATTACACATTAAAAATTTGGTCTGCCATCGAAATTAAATGTTAAAAGTAGAATTGGAAATTAATTCTATTTCAAATGGTAGATTTAATTTTTTGTTGGCTATTGGAAGGTTTCTTCTAACAAACATATGTCACTGACTGGTCTACACCTGAGTCCCGCAGACTAGGATCAAATCAATGATTGGTGATTGGTGGATCAATGATCCAACAGCTGAGAATATTAAATAATGAGAGTATTACTATAATACTACCAATGAATGACATCACCACGACAATCCAAATGCAAGGGTAGCATTTGGTAGGATAAGTAAAAGAACCTGAAGTATCTACGGTATCTCTCAGAGTTTGAATCTACCTTTCGGGACTAGGATTTCTATCCGAACGGAAGTCTGAAATTTGATAACTATTCGTATATTAAATTTATCCGAGCCAACAATTTTTGGAATAAAAGTTTAAAAAAGTGATGAATGAAGAAGTAAACGAAATAGAAGAGAAAATCGAACTATCACACTTACAATTAAAAAATTGAAACAATTAAATAAAAAAAAAAAAAAAGAAATTGCATAACCTGTTGAATACTTGTTAAGAATGTGGCATGACATGTACTCCTGCACAACTCTAATTACACTATGACCTTTGACATAAGACAATCTCCACCTTTTCATTCCACACATCGTCGCTTCACTTCAGGACAGGCAATATGCTCAGAAGATAAGCTATGTTTTTTGGTGACGGTTTTATCCACTTCTGTCCACGCAATGAATAATGACTTTTGCGTAAGGCACAAGTCATTGAAATGGAAATGACAATTCCATGAATGATTTATTAGTGATCGCTTCATGTTTCCTTGTAGTCGTTCGTCTCAAAACATCTGTTTGCTTTATAGGAACGATTATGCGCCATCTGATGGCTAATTTCTACTCGTACCAGTCAGTGAGTCAGTCAGTCAGTCAGTCAATCAGTGAGTCAGTCAGTCAGTCAGTCAATCAGTGAGTCAGTCAGTCAGTCAATCAGTGAGTCAGTCAGTCAGTCAGTCATTCCATTAGTTAAGTATCACTGCATTGCACTGCACTATGACAATTATTTCAGGAATAAATGAAATGACCTTCAAATGATCGACTAAAGCGTTTTTGTATTCAGTTGAATTTATAAAGATTAAGATTTTAAGTATATATGCCAGGTTGGAAAATTATTGATTATAATTATTGATCTGAAATAAATGCATGACTTGGATAATATTTCAATTTAAGCGAGTAGATAAGCAAGCAGCATGCAACATGCAACATGCAGCATGCATTCTTCTTTGGTCAGACAAGAAATAATACCTTCCATTAATTTATTTTGTAGCAATGACCATAGAGTATAGCAGAAGTGAGGAAACATTGCTGTAATCGTAAATAGCATTACTTTTCATACGGAAACTGATAAATGAGCCAAGCTTCGACAAACTAAGACAGAGAGCAGAGCTATAGCTTTTCTCATAATAAATGAGTGAAAAAAGCCAAGCTGCTATAAATGAAGCCAAGCTGCTATAAATGAGGCCAAGCTGTCCATAAATTATATGGATTTAAAAGAACTGTTGAAAGAGTTCTTTTTGACTTCCACTTGGAGAGAAATGTACTGCGAGAAATATTATTGGCTTTAAATTTCAATGTTAAATTTAACTTGTCAATAAATTTGGAACAGACAAACTTAGGTATAGTTGAGCTTGGCAGAATTTTTGATAGTTTGTATTTTGACAATTAATATTTTTAATAAGAATTTTGGTAAGTTCAGCTCTGGAATAGTGACTGAACAATAATTAGTAATAAATACAAATGAAAGAAAAACAATAAATAGGATGTAAAAATGTGTTATATTTCTGCTTGTAATGTTTTGCATCTATTACGTAAGTCACGAGATACTGTCATGCCACATTTTGCATTACACGTCAGTATCACGTAAGTCAGTGCTGGCAGTGAAGGTGCTTTGATGGTGGTTATGCAAGTATTCGGTTATGTCACCATCAGGAAAAAACGTGACGTCAGACATCACGTATTCTGTTCATCCTCTTTGACGACGGTGTTAATGTGAATTGTTTCTAAAATTTCTGATTTTCTGATCTCTGATCTCAACAGTCATCTTATTTTTTTCGTCTTACTGAAGCAAAAATCTATATTAATTGTAATTAGAAATTCGTGAACTTACTGCCTTTCAAAATAACTGAACGCATTGCCGCGCACTAATAAAAAGATTTTAATATTTTTCTTTCTTATATTTTGAACTTCTTTAAAATGTATTCAAGTGTGAAATAGGACTAACACTTCGTAAGCACAATTTGTTTACAGCACAAATTAATTATGAATGAGCAGATCAGACAGAATCTCGCTTTTATGCATTGTCGCAGGAATTTCTGAAGGATATTTTCATCTCACACTCTCCTGATAACAAATTTGATAACAGAATTTCAGCATGAAAGGAACCTTTTCAGATGAGGAATAAAATGGAATTATACTGATTTCAAAAGAAACAATGAAGAAACAAAAAGAGATGGATGAATCCGATATAATTAATTAATTGGTATTTTAACAACCTGCAAAGCTTTATCGCACTTCAATTAAAGTTGATCATAAAGAGAATAATTGACACTTCAAATTATAGTATTTATTTTGAAATTGAATGAAAGAAGTCTATAAAGCATGAAGTGTACTTTTCTATGATGGCACAATTGCTTGATAAGAATCAAATTAGGAATGCAATTGCATCTTCGGAAAACTTCCGGAAAGTCAATGGAGCTTTGTTTATTTGGCTAAGCAAGAAATCTAGGAGAGAATCGCGTGACGTTGAGTCGAAGCGGCTGTAATGACCACTGGTCACAATGAGTGTAATCCTCGGTCATCAGCACTTCCCCATCAGTGCTCAGATGTGTGAAGGATTTGACGAGAAGAAAGGAGGAAAAGAATTTAGCAGATCTGACGTACGCTATCACTGTTCATTGGCAGATACGTCGTGAATTTGAAGTAAATTTTTAGTTAGAAGAGTAGATGATTTGGCTTAGTTAAGTTCACTTGACTTACTTTAAGTTTGTAGAAATTTGAACTGAACCTTTTGTTTCTTGTCTACGAGCAAGATCAACCCAGATATCGTTTATTTTCTTTATAAATGTGAATCGATACAATATACAGTTGAATAATTGAAACAGCGAAGGAATAAATGGTACTGTTGAGTAGGAGGACGAGAAGACTGTCACCGATCGTTTCTTTGTTATCGGTTGATTTGATTAGAGAAGAATTTTAAAAATGTATGAAGTGGACTTGGCTTAGCAGATTACCATTTTCAATGAAGAAGGAAGAAGACAGATGTACATTTACTATTTGAGATTTAGATAAAGCATTCATTGTTTCAAAAATGAGATATAACAAAAGAATAAGGAATTGGTTTATAGTGATGAATCATTAGCATTATTCTAAACATTTAGTGTGTAATAAATATTTTTTCGGTTTTCCGACAGGTGCGCGTTATGTTTGACATATTAAATCGGATTGCTTCAATTGAAAATATAACTGTGTTACATAACTGGTGCTGAAATCGTTGAGGAAAGTTGAAGAAGTATTCCTTATCGCAGATTGTGAGCTAAGCCTAAGCCTAAGCCTAGACATATTCCTCGCTAGCTTTTTCAAACCGAAGAATTGGAAATAACATCAATCACTGTGCACACCGATAATATAGTAATTAGCAGATCGTCACAACAGGTAACGATCATTTGATCACTGGTCTACTAATAATTGCTTATTAAGCATATTTTACTTAATAAGCAATTACAATTAGTGAACAGAGTATCATCCGAGAGAGTTAAATTCGAGAATGTAATGTAGGCAGTAAAGAGTCGAGAGAAGAGGTTGAACTGTGTACTTGGATGGTTGAATTCAAGACAAGAAAGCGGTTTGAAGAGACTTTTCTTGAAGGATGATACTTACTCATAGTATCATTAGACAGAGTGACGGCTAGAAATCGAAATATATCGGTGCATTTTGTAAAAGTGGAAAATTTTGAATGTTGGCAAAAATTAAAAGAAAGAACGAAAAGGTTTATAATTTCAAAACGTTAGCACCGTTTGCTTATCAGTAATAATCAGATGTTTGTTATGAAGGCAAAATTCAGGTTTCTTTTATTTTCTGAAGTAGAAAATAAGACTCTAACGAAAGATCTTTTGAATTTACTACAACAGTTAGCCATCAAAGGACATTTTGATAATATATGGACTGAAATAGGATGACGGGCACTCCATTTCATATATTTCCCCATTCCCTTCAATAAAATGAAATCAATCCAACAAACGACAGCTAATGACCACTCTTAAAATGCCTATCTTTATAGATAAACATAAACAGACATGTACCTGTCGTATAAAAATTAGAGGTGCAGGAATCATTGTACAATTCAAATCTAGCGTTGAAGTTGGCTAAGGCTTTGGACGATAAGCTTTTTTGGAAGGTAAATAATTTTTCAAGAAGGAATAACTCTAGAGATCAATATTAAAGTCTTCCAGTCAATATATATTAAAGTTCTTAATTTCTAAATCACGTAAATGTCACCTGAATGTCATCTAACTTCTCCGTACGTTTATTTCATATATGAGAAAACATCGAATTCGATCAATGACGACCTAAATTGCGTTCTATTGTAAGTGAAAAGAAAGAAGTGGAATGTAGAGCCGCTTGATTTGCATAAAGTAAAAATTGACGTAAATTCGAGTTCAAATATTGCAAGTTCGATTCTGCCTTGAAGATGGGAAGTAAATAACAGATTGATGTGATATGGCTTTTTAATAAAGTTTAGATAGAGAATCAAAAAGAAATAATATTAATATTTCTCCTTAACCATTAGCACTAACACTAGTGCACCTGCAGAAATTCTGGCGCAATTTGCATGAGTAGTATTTGATGGCACAACATATTAAACAATTAAGATGGAAATTTATCTCAAACAATTTAATCGAAGACAAATTTCGTTAACAACAATTTCTGCCGCAATCAATCTTCGAACCACTCCGGAGGTTTGACAAAGAACACACCGCCATCCGTGGCACAGTACGTTGGACAAACCTGTAATTTTGATTAATAAACGAAGTAAGAGTTTCGATTTGTATTTTAATTGAAACTTTTTTGCAATTAGGTAGTAAATATCCAATTACTAATCTTTCACCTCTTCATTTTACATACAATGAAATACAACAAATAAATCTGACATTTCCCCATCATTTATAATGAAAAGAAGTTACTCCTCACATTGTCAAAATTAGACTAACATAAATAAAGTATCAAAAGATAGTGATGCATCTTCCCTTCTTGAATTTAATTCTTTTGAATGGAGAAAACTGATGAAGTAAAGAGTATGGTTCAACAAAAACGGGAAAATTCTCTTGTAAGCTCCAGAAAAAAGATGACTAAAATCTCATACTCCAACATTTCCATCTGGTCCAACTTTTCCGACTGGTCCAGGTAATCCTGGGGATCCTCGATTTCCAGATAGTCCATCCTCACCCGGAAGTCCACGTTTACCTGTTGGTCCTGGCGGTCCATCAATTCCAGGCATTCCACGTGGTCCTGGAATAGCTACAGTGAAAAATATCAAATTGTAATTTTCTAACTTTCAAAAACTTCTCGAGTATCAGTCGAATTTTTAAATTTTCCATCCGAATGTATACTATAATTACAAAAGCAATTTTTCGCGGTGAAAAGCGAAAGAACAAACCGGGTGGTCCAACAGGTCCAACCTCACCACTTGGACCAGGAGGTCCGGGAATGAATGGTGTCGGTGTCGCATCGATCCCTGGATCACCTATATCTCCGTCCAATCCTGGAATTCCTGGTGGACCTCTTGGTCCCGTAGGACCAATTTTTCCATCCTTGCCATTTTTGCCGTGGACACCAGGGATTCCCGTTGCACCTTTATCTCCCGGGGATCCCTGAAAAAGATGTCTTTCTAGATCCAATTTTGTGCTAGATTATTTTAACAGCCAACAAGTTTCTCCAATTATTTGCAGCGCTGAAAAACATTTACAAAAGAAATCAGTCGCTAATACACTTCTTGATTTCCAGCAAGTATTTTTGAAATTCGGAAAGAAAGCTCACCGTTGGTCCTTGTTTCCCTTGTTTACCGACTGGGCATGGGTCGGCACATATTTTTTTCACGTCAATTGGTGGCTCGCAGGGCATCCGTGCAGGGAATCCAGGAGCTCCCTGGGCACCGGGAGCACCTTTAAGTCCTTTACGTCCTGGCAAACCTTTAGGCCCAGGCAGAGCAGAACACCTTAAATTTTTTCTGATATTAAGAAAATGAACTTTGTAATTAAGTTTGAAGATTTTAAGGTTTAAATTTTCTAAGTAGAAAATGAAACATTTAGTGTAATTTTTTTCAAAATTCCTATTTTTAAATTTCTCCGTTACTTTAGTTTATCGATCAAACGATTTATGCTTCAAAAAATCTTAGGCACCAATTGAAAAAAGTCTTTGTGAACCGAAATGTTTCAAAAACCATCCTAATTCATACAACATTTTCCTATCCCAATTCTACCCATTTTTTCAAAGTATGATAATACCTGCACTCCCGACCATCGCTGCTTATTCTGGTCGTATCACTTTGCATAACTTGTGACACAGGTGGATGTGTCACCGACAATTCTTGCAGATAGTTTGTAGTCGAGGATATGAATCTATAAGTACGGAAGAGTGATGCTTCAGGTTCTGCTGTAACCTCTTCAGTACCATCATTATGCCAAATGACACTAGAATCTTCTGCCATTTTCCTAATAACAGACTGTTGGAAATCAATTTCCGCCACTGTCACTTCGTTTAATTGGCCGACATTTTGCGCAATTGCATGTTCTGGTTCGGCTGTATTCGAAGATGGGGCGTATTTGACGAGAAAAGTTGCTGCTGTTGGCACTTCTTCTAGTACCTCAATAGGTATACTGCGAACTTTTCGACTAGCTTGTCGCCATTTGTCCTGACATTTCTCGGAATTCTGAGAGCAATTCAAATACTCGAATATGGTGTTTAGCTAAAACAGAAAAGGTGGAAGATTGGATAGTTTATTTCATGAAATGAAATGAAAATGAGAGAGAGAGAGAGATCATTCCTGACAATACGAATTCATCCTTACCGGCAAAGAGCGAAAATTAATTGGCAAATCCATGTATCAGATGAAACTAATACATGGATTTCGCGGGAATTTTGATTATTGATAACCAAAAAATTATAAAATTTGTTTTCATACCTCCAAAGCGCTGCTAGTTTTGTTTCCTACTTCATCGACATTTCCGCCATAATTTTTATTCATACTAGTATAACCATAAAAATTAAACGCAGTTTCCTGAAAGAAAAGAATCACTGATTCTTGAACTTTCTATCTAGAAATCGAACAATTATTCCCGGTGAACTAGCCGAATCCACTGTAACACATTGCGCAGTTAATTTATTGACAACAGCACCTTACGTGCCTGACATTACTGTCTGTTGACAAGATTGATTAAACTTCTAGTTTGTCAGTAAAGTAATTCTATCTAAAGTAAATGTCACAAGAGCTAGTATTCAAGTCATAGTGGTGGCGGAAGTACGTTGGCTATGCTTTGTCAGTGTTGGTGGTTATTTGAAATTAATTTAGCATCGGATGACTTTTACAAATGAACGCATTAAAGTTACCTCGCAGAAAAAGAAATCATTTTGTAGCTGATAACTGATAGTACTGATATATTGGTTTACAGTTGGTGTTAGTGCTATAAATGCTACGAATGGTAGGACAGCAATGATAAGCGCAGTGATAATCGCCAACTGATAAGCTCTCTCACGTCCTGTGTCCAAAGCATCCGAATCCATGTAATTGTTAAAAGTTTTCTGAGATTCGGCTTAAAATTCAAAAAGCGCGACTTTACAAAGGATTTTTTTAGAAATAATTTGGGTTGCATAACTTACCCTACCTACCTTTCACGAAAGTTTTCTTTTTTGTGTATGAAATCTGTAATATCAAGTTTCAGAATAAACTTCAAAAATTTTACGATCCCCAAAAATTTTACGTGTCTTTAAAAAGAGTGCAACATGTTCTACAACTAATAATCAGATAATGTTATATAAAAATTTATTAATATTTTCGCAGTGAAAAAAAAAAATTATGTTCATATCCAAGAATTAAGCGATCTTCATTTATGTGTTATAAATTTCTGGAAAATCTCTCTTCCCATTACCACGAAGTCACTTTCTTTCGCAAGCAAGAACGCAAAATGTGTTCGGGAAAGGAAGTGCGGGTATCTTAGTAAATAATGTGATAAATTATCTTCCCGACCCATCTACCGCTGGATTAGTTAGAGTGGAAGTTAATTTAAAAATGCAAAATAAGGGTTTAAGGTCGAGAATACAATGTAAGAATTATGATATATTCTTACATTGTATTCTCGAAATGGAAAAAGAAGAATTACTGGAATCTATCTTAGCGTTTGATTGTTGTAAATTTAATTTTTGACCTAGAAAATGCAATCGTTTTTCTGCAACAAATGTCCTACATTTAAGCCGGTCATCTCTATTCATGAGAACCTATTTAAAACATTCCGGTAAGAGAGATACTACCAATCCATCTTTTTTCTACCTCTACAATTTATGCATATTCAAGAAGTAAGAAGAAATCCTACTCCATTAGTTATTTCTAGAATCTTTTCAGCAAAGAAGTAGAAGTTGTGAAGCGTGTAAACAGGTAAATTAAATTTAAGAAATAAATTTGCCTTCATTTCTTTCTTCTGTTGAATATTGTTATATTGAGAATACAACATATAGCATTCCGATCAGGAAAGGAATATTTTAGGAATTTAAAGGTCTAGTAAGGGTGACTTTAATTGGAAATATGGATTCTTTAATGGAAAACAAATGAGACAACTGGTGACAACTCGCTAATTCATTTAACTGTTTTGTAAACTTCCCCTGAACCATTCCATTTCATGGATATTCTATTTTAATCATAAATATATCATATTCTGATCTATCCAATCAGAATCCAAAAGAAGAAATTTTGCCTTTCTATATCATTGGGAGATTAAATTCTTTAGCTCCTTTCATTTTAAATTTGTTTAAATCCCAATCAGCTTAATAACACAAGTTTATATTACTATGATATATTTATGATTAAAATACCTCAGAATTTATATTTGACATTCAGTTCCTGTCTTTCCCATTTTTAAGGAAATAATGATAGGTGAAGAGTAGGCTGATTTAATTGACAACACTTCTCTTGCAAGTTATAAACGAAGAAGCTTGCTTATTTATAAATATTCTTTTAATTGCAAAGAAAATATATCAAATGCTTCACACATGTCTTACCACAAATTACCTGCAACAAAGAACTTTGAAAGCAATAAGAGAAACAATTCTTCAAATATGGATTAATTTAAAGGCAATTTTGAAAAGGCAACTTAAAATTTCAAAAACATAAACATAATCTATGAAAAACATGACAGTTTTCTAACTTACTGGCAGCAATACTCCACAACTCATTGCGAAAAGAAAAAAAGAGATCGATTTAGAAAAATGAAATAAATTTGGAATTTTTGCAGAAGTGCCATCGAGTGGCAAACAGTAGAACATGCAAGTGATTATCTATTATAGATGCTATAAAATATATGGAATGGAACATAATATTCATACAAAAACCCATAGAAAAAGTTTTGTTTGAGAAAAAACAGATTACAGAGAAAATGACAAGGAAAAGTTAATGTCAAAAAAAAAACAAAAAACAAAGCATAATATACATCCTCAAAATTGTCATAAAATATCAGTAAGAACTAGTGGAGTCGAAGTAGTCTAACGAAAAGTCAAGTGATATGTAATGAGTATAGTCATTTGGATTTGTAATTTATTAGAAAAAAAACTGTAGTGGAAATTCAGCATAAAACAGAAAAAGTTTTCATCATCAGTGAAAGGCAGTATGGCATTATTAATCAAACAAATTGAAAAAAAACCAAAATTTGATGGAAAGGGTGAATAATGAATTCAAAATCAACATATAAAAAGGACCTTTAAAAAAGTGTCTACTTCAAATCGCTCTAAAAAGGTTTACTTTACAGAAGAATCGAATTATTTCTTCCAGAAATGGTTGCCCATTAGAGAGAAGGAGTAGTATGTCAAACTTTTCATATTATTTCAGCTTTGTTCAGACAATGCAAGAAGTGAAAATAGAGAATTCCGACAATGTACATAACTTGGTCGTGTAGTAAGCATTTTCTAAATTAGATCTCACGTCACATTAGTCTAAAACGTGAATGAAGTGATATCACATATAGTCACAAACTAGAAAACCCCTTCTCGGACTACTAAGAACACTCAATTACTATACAAGGCCTAATAAAGTTGTGAATGTGCCATCAAATTTTCCTTTTTCTACGAATCACCCAATAGTCCCGATATTTCACAAATAACTTTTTCTCAAAATCAATTAACAAGAAAAAAATTTTTTTAAACTACAATTTAATGGTCACTGACATTCATGATCATTCCTGACAGTTTGGTGTTGCTTAATATAAAGCAACTTCAAAGTTTTCTATACTGTGCCATTCTTCAAATTTCGATTCTTCCAATTTAAAAATGCTTCAAAAAATTAATTCTGTACAAAACTGAAGAAAATATCAATGTATAACAAAATGAACAGTAAAGCCTTCATCAAGATCAAGGAGGAAAATAGTTTAACAATTTGAAAATATTTACAACAATGAACACCTGCAACAACCTTTTCCTAATTACAGCTACTTCTGTTCTGCTGTTAAGTTGCTAATGTTCATATGGTTTTATTTGTGTTTCTAAGATACGTAACTCATAACCACCAGTCGTTGTAATGTTTCTAATTTGAATTCAAATTCTTCCATAACTCCAACTGAAAGGCAATGTGTATTGCATTATAAACAGCATATATTTTTAATATAGACAACAACGTTTGTGTACGGTATGCATAGCTTTATGTAGTCGAAAAAATCAAATTAACGATAAACATACCTTCCAAAAGAAGGAAAAAAGCAACAAGAATGAATTTCTTGTAACAAATTCTTGAGCAAACCTTTTCGCGTAACAATTCTGTGCAGCTCGCAATATTTTCATACTGTTGAATTAATGAGTGTCTGTAAACAGATACTTAAAGTGTCTTTTCATCAAAAACTGAAACTCAAAGATCATGTGACTAAATAGGAATGGCTGTTCGCTCAATTTGGTTTACACGATTTCCACATTTAGCGCGACTAATTGATAGGCTGTCCTTTTGAAAAGACAAAAAGCTAACTTTTCTAAACCTTAGGATGCTACAGAGTGCAACAAGGACGTACTGCTCAATCCTTAACTTCTTATCAGTCGATTGATAAGAAATTATTGACACTGCTCAAAACATCTTGATTGAAATCAGATATAGTTACAACTAATTACTTATGCATTTATCTAATTCACTATATGGCTGCTCATACTTTTTCTTCAGCGTTTCAATCTCTTCTGCTAGATTGGGTGATGATTCGTGATCGATTCCTGTAATTATTTCCTTTTTGGTCATACTACATTCCATACTGCCAACGCCATTCTTATTGTCAGTGAGTTCTTTCTAGAAATTTTCAGAATGAAAGCAGGAAATTGGATGAATTATTATTTTTTTTTTTTTTCAATAAAAGATGAATTACATTTCAAATCAATAAAACAAGATAAATCAACCAGCAATGACACGCTGCTGGCTGCACTTTACTTGGAACTATTTATTTTCAAATGAAAAAGATCTATTAAGAAAATACCGACGGTAAACATTCTCGACAAATTATAGTATATCTCGTGAATAAGAAGGAGTTTTAGCGATCAAGAAAAAGCTATATAAAAGAAGCTAGCTGGGGATTTCACCCAGGGCAGATCTAACTAGGACCAATTTTATTAATTCCATCAATTCTTCATAATTATCGTTAAATTATATGCATTATCAATTATTACCGTTAGCTTCGAATAAGTTTCAGAATATATCAATGGTTCATTGGAATTTGGATACATCTGAAAAAAAAAAAAATATATATATATATATATAGTATTAATCTATTATTATCAATTATTAAGACAATGTATCCTTTACACTGAATGAGTGGTAACGAATCGGCATGCGAATAAGATTCTTTCAAGTGTGATGAATCTCGAGAGATGTGGTCTTCGTGAAACTTCTCACTATGACGATCGAAGATACATTACAAATTGAATGATTAGTAAGGTATACATATAGTATACAACAGCGTACACACTGAGAGCGCATACATATGATAAATCTAAGCAAGGATGGAAAACTGCTATACTGTACGAACTTTTCACATCATTACGGTTGCTGAAATTATTCTTTGATGAAGTACATGCGAGATATATAGAAAGAAACGACTATATCTGAGTTTGACTGATTATTAGTCATATAATTAGAATATAACAATTTTGGAGATACTAAAGGTCTTCCGAACGAACTCTCAGAATGGCATAATAATAAGATATAAGTGGACAACAACAGTTCGGTCGATAGGAGCAAATATCATTGGTTATTTTGAATGACAAGCTCTTAGTATTAGCTTAATAACAGTTTGCTTTAAAAACGTAGTCATCTAATACTGCATGAAGGATAAAGTTTGAAAGAAGATGATCAAATGACATATTGCGCACATGAATTTAAGTGCAAGAAGTCATGAAAACAATGCGAAAGTTGAAAGACGGGAGGAAGAAACTGAATTCACGATATCAGTTAACAGTGGTACAAGCAAAAAAGGACAACAGTATACAATATCTCATAATTTAACGTTATCTTCTATTATCAACCATTTCTTACGTTATCTAATCATGAAAAC